TGGGAGAGGGAGGGAGGGAGAAAAGGAGGGAAAGAGGAAGGGAGGGAGGGAGAGAAGGAAGGAAGAAAGGGAAGAAGGAGGGAGGAAGAGAGGGAGGGAGGGAGAGAAGGAGGGAAAGAAGGAGGGAGGGAAGGAAGGAAGGAAGGAAAGAAGGAGGGAGGGAAGGAAGGAAGGAAGGAAAGGAGGGAGGAAGAGAGAGAGGGAGAGAAGGAGGGAAAGAAGGAGGGAGGGAGGAAAGGAAGGAAAGGAGGGAAGGCGGAGGGAGGGAGGGAAGGAAGGAAGTTGTGACACAGGTGTGGAACTGAAAGACTAGTGTACTCACCACCAGAAGAACCACCCAGATGCCCAGAGCTGCATGTGCTGAGCAGGGGGTCAGAGAGGCGGCTGCCCAGGGCGCTGGGTGAGGTTGGTGTGGAGGCAGGGGAGCAGGGGAGAGATGGGACACCCCGCTCGGCCAGGATGGTAGAGCCTGCAGAAGGGGGGAAGACCACACTCGCCACTGGCCAATGCAGAAAGCTGAGTCCCTGCCTCACAGTAGACTCCCAGGCTTGACCACAGAACAGCCATGAGCTCAGGGTAGGACTCCAGGGGCTGGCTCACCTGCTCTGTCCTCCCCTGCAGGTCAGAGGCGGCCTCATCCACATCCTTTGAATAAGTCCCTGCCTGGAATTTCCCCTCCCCAGGCAGCCTTCACCTTCAGGAAAAGAAAGTCCCCACCTCCCACCCCCTCACCTCACCCTTCTGTCAGAGTCCTGCCCTCTCCAGCACTGTTCCTAAGTATTGCCTACCTCCTCTGCACTGGCACTTCAGAAGGAGCTGCATGTTCCCCATGTTTTGGTCCTGCATCTTTCCTTCACCCTTTACTCCTTCTTCCCCTTTCTTCCTTCCTTTCTTTTGCAAATCCTTACTGAGGACCCACTGTGCACACTTAAGGCTGGGGACAGAGCCCTGCCATCAAAGAGCTAACTCCTGTCCAAGGAGCCTCCAGGAGCTGTCTTCAAACCCCCACTTCCGGGCAGTCTCAATTCCATCTGCACTAACCAGCCATGTATCCACTATGGATGCAGGACTGAACAACTGCAGAGTTGGGGTTATTACGTGTTCTTTGCCCAGGAATCCAGCTCTGTTTCTTCAACTGAACCACAAGCTTTCAATGAATAGGAAACCTCACTGTCTGTGGCTATCCCATGGGCCCTAACAGAATGCTCTGCACACAAACAGATGCTGGACAAGATCTTTTATTATTAGCTCTAACTCATTTTAATATCATCATTATTTCTAAGCATATTCAGAAGATGTTCATAGCATTTCTCTTACTGAGTTAATACTGTTAATCATCTTCTTTCAGAAGTACATGCTTCCTATTTACTTTTCTTGCCTTATTGCACTGGCTAGCATTTTCAGAACCATGTCTGTAAAGGCATCCTATTATGCTCCTGTCTTTAATGAGAGTAGCATGTTTCTAATGTTCCACTACTACATAAGAAATTGGCTGTAGGTTCTGTGAAACATATGAGTGAATTCAGAAAATATCCTTCCATTCTTAGATGACTGAGGCCTTCCACAAAGCCAGTCATTCCTCCGTAAAGTAACTAGTGACTGAATACATTGCCACTGATTTGTTTTTTCCTTTGTCAGGATCCCCCACACCAGTTTGCTGGCTGAGATGCCCAATTCTCCAAACAGCTTAGGAGAGCTCTGCATGACAAACACTGAACTGATTATTCAACATCCACCTTGACCCACTTACCACCCGGGACAGGAAAGTCTCCATTGTTTTTAATTCCCCTTTGCTCCAGTCTCATAAACCTGTTTGGATGGCAGCAGCCTTCCTGGAAAGCTCCTTATCTATTATCAGACGGTGCTGATGCAAAAGAGTACCTTCCCCTTGTGTGACTTCCTTTCTCTGAGAGGCAGTGTCTCCCTCACCCACTGAGTGCAGCCAACTATCCTTTACTTCAGCTTTTGCTTTTTCTCTATCCTGATTTCTTCTCATCCCTTCCTGTTTTACCTTCCCTCAGTTCTAACAGCTTCAATGCTTTTTATTGCTTTTCTCTTTATTACTCTACCTTCATTTGGTCTCTTTACAGAGTTGGAGGTCCCTACAGACCTTATCTGATTTCACAAGCTCTCCACACATACCTGCTCTAGCAAGCCCCTGGGCTGAAGCTAGGAGCTGTGAGGCCCGGGGTTCTCCAACTCTGGCTAAGAATGCTTGCTTTAAAAGAAAAACTCAGATACCTAGAACCTATCCAAGACCTACAGAACTGGAATTTCTGGAGGAGGAGAGGACCCAACAATCTGCACCTCACTAAGTTCTCCCAGTTAAGTTAGTGACAACAGCCCAGTCTAACAGGGTTGTTTAGCAGACCAGCCTGTCCTCCCTGAGGTAACTCAGGTCCCAGGAGATGCTCTGTGGGAAGGAAAAAGGATTTCTGGCCAGATAAGTTTGGAAAAACTGTACACCATAACCACTACTACCCTCTGTAAAGATTCATACTGCATATTAAAGGCTCGAGAAGTATTGCAATGAAGAATCTAACCACTCCTCTATTTAATTCACTGTTTCTCAAACTTTTTTTTGAGAAGGTCCCCTTTTCAAAGGACACCTCTTAACGTTCCATTGAACAATCTGGGAAGCATGGCTTATGCAAGCCCACATCTTCCAATCCATCTCTGTATTCCCGCAGAAAAAAAAGGCCTAGAACTCTGCAAACCCATTTCCCTCCAAGTGCTCAGGCACTCCCCTACCCACCAACCCAGGCACCACCCTGCAGACACAGAAATACTGACAAAGCAACGTGGTTTTCATTGAGACCACAGCCAACCTTCGGGTCAGGGACCTTTATTCCCATTGTGAAAAAATGGAAACCAAGCCTCAAAAAGTTCATTGCTAGTGGAAACCATTTTCACCCATTGTTAAGGGTGTGTGGATCTAGGCTCTTTGTGTGTTTGTTTGTTTGTTTGTTTTTTATAATTTATTTTTTTTCTTTTATTATTCATATGTGCATACAAGGCTTGGGTCATTTCTCCCCCCTGCCCCCACCCCCTCCCTTACCACCCACTCCGTCTTTGTGTGTTTGTGGAGTTTGGGGGTTGATCAGATTCTGAGCGTTGAACTCAATAATCCTTTTTCCTCTCCCTGGCCATTTGGGAACCACAGACTAGAAGATCCAGTCCCGCCCAGAACTCACCTTGGGTGTCTTGAGTCCCTACAAGATCACCATGAACTGGGGACAGACGTCTTGCCCTCTGACCCAGATCGCCCCTCTCCCAGGAGGGCGAGCCAGGCACTCACCGAGGATGCGGACCTGTGTGATGGCGCCGTGCAGGCCGAAGAGCATCCAGAGAGGCTGCGAGGCGTCCACGTACAGCTGCATGCCCGCGGCGGCGCCATTGTGGCTCAGGTGCAGCTCGCCATCTGCGTTGACCACCAGGCCCAGGATGTCGCCGCTGTGCAGGGGCCCGGGGACACGGCTCACGGCCCAGAACTCCTTGCGGTCCACCAGGGCCTCGGAGTTGCAGGGTACGTCAGCCGGCCGCAGCGTGCCGGGGTCACACGTGGTGACACCAAAGGAGAGCGCGCCGGGCCGCGCGCCGCCCGAGCGCGTGACCTTGACGAAGATGGTCTCGGCCACGCGCACGGGCCGGCTGGTGAAGACGAGCGCGCGATCGTCGCGCCCGTGCTCCAGGCGCGCCACCGTCTGCTCGTCCAGGATGCGGATGTGCGCACTGGCGCGCAGCGCGTGGAAGCGCAGGTCGCCGTCGAGCTGTGCGGGCAGCGCGCGGCTGTGCTGCGAGTTGAGCGAGTTCTGCGGGATCGGGCAGCCCGAGGCCGGAGTGCTGTCGTCGCCCTCGGTGGCCGGCACGTTGAGGTCGCACAGGCTCACGGAGAGGCGCGCGTCGTCCGCCTCCCGCCGCAGCGACGGCCGCCGCAGCGCCGTGAAGGAGCGCGGCCGCAGGCAGTCGGGCAGCACCAGCTCGCTGTCTGCGCGGGAGGGCGAGAGAGGGCGACCGTCACAGCCACGCCGCCCACATGCTCGGCCAGTGCTTAATGGCATCGAAAATGCTTGTGACATAAACTGAGGAGCAAAATCAGGAAGCAAGGTGGCGCAGGAATCTACGGTTTAAATAACGGATTGGGGTCGGAAAACGCCAAAGGTCAAGGCCATCCGGTTGCTTCAAAATGCTTCAGTGAGCGTACAGAACTTATAATTTATTTCATTTTATTTTTTGCAGAACTGGGGTTTGAACCACTCCACCAGCACTTTTTTGTGATGGGTTTTTTCGTGATAGGGTCTTACAAACTATTTGCCCCTGGGGTTGGCTTCCTCCTTGATGTCTGCCCCCTGAGTGGCTCGGATTCCAGACGTGAGCCACCGGCGCCTGGCTGAGATTCATAATTTTAAAAGAATGATTCTTTTTGTTTGTTTGTTTGTTTGTTTTTAGCAGAGGCCCTGGGTTAATCCCCAGGTCCCCCACCACCCCCTACCACCATCCAGGGGAGAAAAACTTTTCTTAAAATTTAACCTTCTTCATGCCGCAAGTACAGCACTTAGTAGGTGAACAGTAGTTAGTGAGGACTCTTAACACTCTGGAGGCCAGACAGACACCCCCCATCCTCCTAACTAAACTGTCCCATGCAACCCTCACACTTAACTTTTGAGGTTACTGTTGCCACAGAAGGACACTGGGGTTGAGAGAAGTTTAGAAGTTCATGCAAGAGTTGCTTCTGAGAGAGACTTCACTGGGAGTCAAACTTTCTTTTTAACCAGAAAGTAAGACAAACTGTATTTTGTAGAAAATACAGCTCAGCAAAAAGAAAACAATGGCCTATCAGCCCACCTCCCAGAGAAAAGCACTTTTAATGTTTGGATTATGACATTGTAGATTTTGGGGGGGGTTTCAGCGGCACTGGGGTTTAAACTCAGGGCCTTGTGCTCTACCACTTGAGCCACTCCGCCATTCTGAGACTATAGACTTTTTGGTTTGGTTTGGTTTTTGGTTTTGTTTGTTTTTGGTGGTACTGGTGTTTGAACTGAGGGTCTCACTCTTGCTAGGCATATGCTCTACCACTTGAGCCACTCCACCAGCCTGAGACTATAGACTTTTAAAATGTATTTTTGGTTACTTTTTTTTTAATGTAAAACTTGAGTTGTGCTATGTAAACACCAGTAAGTTCTTAACCTTTTATGAGTAATAAGCCACTTTGAAAATGTGATAATAACTTTGTTTGACCTATCTCCCCTGAAATTCTGTGGGTAATTTCCAGGTGTGGACTCCAGGCTAAGAACATACTACACAGATTTCCTTTTTCATAATTTATTGTTTTCACTTGCTGTGTCCTGAACACCTGCCTTTCATACTGAAAGCCATTTCCATTCTTTTTATAACTGTCTGTCCAGCTTTCTGGAGACCCCTACGGTAACTTACAGTCAAAGTCATGTGCTATGAATGACCCCTGCATTTCATTCTTAAAGGAATCCCCATGTCACAGATAAAGCTCAGGGGTGTTGAGTGACTGTCACCAAACAGTAGACCCAAGATTGGAGGTCCGCCCCTACACTCCTCCACTTCCAGGCCAGCTTTGATCGAACCCTTTTTGCAGAGTCAGTGTCCCCCCCAATTAGGCTGGCACTTTAGCGAGCGAAATCACGGCCAGGCACCTTCCTAGGAGCCTTTTCTCTGGGCCTTGCTGGGTAAGGATGGCTGGGGTGTCAGGAGAACTGAGTTAGTAAGGACAGCAGAGGCTACAATTGGGCTCCAGCTGAATACAGAAACGGAGCCTCCCAGCTCTTGTGCCCTCCCCCCCCCCTTCCAGGAACTGTGCTGTCTGGCCTGGCGAGGTTCGGGTGCTGTTCTGGAAGCCTCCTGGGGCCTGGCTGGTTGGGGTTTCCCAGCATTGTGCTGGCAAGGAGGAGGGAGCCAACCGGAAAATATGATTATTCCAGCGAATTGACTCTGACAGCAGCTGTGCAGAGCAGCTGGGGGCCACGCAGAGGCAGGGGCGAGGGCCCTGCAACAATTGCATGGAGGGCCTGGGGCTGACTGGGCCCTGGGGAACAGTCCCTGTTCCCCAATCCCTCAGGAATTCCAGCCACTGGCCCTTGGGGACTCTGGGGAATTGAAGAGGTGAGTGAAGGGAGGGAACAGCAGGGAGAAGGATCAGTTGCTCAGAGATACCCGGTCAGGGCCTATGGGAACAAGACTGTCACCTGGGCCCACCTACATATGCATCACCACACTCCCTACCCCACCCTGCCCCAACGCCACACCCTCAGGACTCAGTCCAGAGTCCTGGAGCTAGGCAGGCCATGCCATGACCTACAGTAGCACCAGCCAAATTTGGGGACATTGGGGTTCAATAAACAAGCAGGGCCCTAATCTCTGAGCAGGGCTGGGTGTGAACTACCCCGGTCTCTGCCCCTTCAGGAGTCCTCTTCTACATGAATATGCCACTCTTGGGTGTTCACTATCGCCCAGGCAACCGAGTCATTGGTGAGCTGCTCTGTCTTTAAGAAAGCATTTCCTTGGGCCAGGAGTGGTGTTGCACACCTGCAATCCCAGCTTCTTGGGAGGCAAAGGTAGGAGGATTGCTATCTGAGGCTCACTTGGGCATAAGACTCTATCTGAAAAATAAACTAAAAGGAAAAGGACAGGGGGTGGGGCATGGCTTAAGAGGTAGTGCTTCTTGCCTAGTAGGTTTAAAGTCCTGAGTTCAATCCCCAGTACCACAAAAAGAGGAGGAAGAGGAAGTGTTTCCACCTCCCTGTATTTAATCCACCACCACCTGGACTAGCAATCCATACTGAAGACACCTATTCTCTGGGAATACTCAGACTGCCTATACACTTTCCCAACTCCTAGACAGTGAACAGATGCAGACAGTACTCCAGATGTGCTCTAAACAGCTCAAGTCACTATCACCTCCAATGACATATGTACTGTACTTCTAATAATGCAACCTAAGAGTACTCTGGGGTTTTTCAGTAAACAAAATCCATACACTGGTAGGCAGTATACTGAAAACCATTCTGATAGGAACCTAGTTGAGTACACTGAATTTGAAGTCATCAGCCTGGGTTAAAATCCTCATCCTGCCATTTCCTTTTAACCAGACTATAAACTAGGACAAGTCGCTTAATTTCTTTAACCTCTCTTCTTCAGCAGTGAGATCTTCACACACTGCTTTATATAAAATCTGTGTTCTAACCTTGCCTTAGAAGGGATGCAGAAGAAGAAATGGAATGAAGCCATTGGATACCTAGCAGAACACCTGTGCATAATAATCATTAGGTTAATTAGGTTAATATGCTCCGCCATTGTTAGTATCGTTTACACATCAGGCTTCAGAAGAAAGTGCATGAACTCTGGGGTGCCTCGGGCCTGGGTTTAAATGTCCCACTGTTTCCTTACAGTTTCCAAAGTGGCTCACCTGGAGGCGGGTGCCTGCCTTGACATGCCATAGCAGAAGGAGAGGTAGAACACAGCCCCTGATGAAAGTCTCTGATAACTCAGGGCCGAGTTTGTGAACCAAAGTAAGACCCAACTATACTCAGCCATCAACTCTGACCCTAATGTAGGACTTTACATCGGTTGTGATGGGGACCCAAGAAATATTCTTGAATGAAATCACCAACTAAAGATCCAGAAGTAAATTAAAGAACTGAAAATCCAGAAGTAAATTAAAGAACTAAAGATCCAGAAGTAAACTAAAGAACTAAAAATGCAGCTAGCCAGCGCTGGTGGCTCACACCCGTAATTGTAGCTACTCAGAAGGCAGACATCAAGAGGATCAAAGTTCAAAGCCAGCCCAAATAGTTCCCAAGAGCCTCTCTCGAAAATATTCAACACAAAAAAGGGCTAGTGGAGTGACTCGAGTGATAGAGTGCCTAACTAGTAAGCGTGAGGCCCTGAGTTCAAACCCTAGTACCACAAAAAAAAAAAAAAAAGATTATAGGGGAAAGAAGAAAAGGAGAAACAGTGGAGGACTGCAGAGAGAGAGAGAGGAGCAAGAAAAGTGACCCTTTGGCCTTGTTTGAAATATGGCTGGAGCTGGGAGTTGAGGGGGCCTGAGAGCTGCTGGAAACAACTAAACACGGCACAAAGCCCAGTGTTGGTGCCCAGCCCAAAAATGTCCTCTCTCTCTTCCCCTCCACCCCTTGCGCAGGAGCAGCTGCTGATGGCCAGCAGGCTCCAAAATAACTGTCCCAACAGTGGGCCAGCTGCACAGAGCCTGAAATAGATGAAACCCGAGATGGAGGAGCGCTCTTCACGTGGTGGACAGCAAAGGTCCTGGCTGAGTGAGCCTTCGCCAAGATGGAGGTCAGGGTCATGTCCGGCTCCCAGTCCTGAGAGGACCTGGAACCACAAGCAACATGGTAGCCTCACATTTGGAAGCAACAAGTTACATAATCGGTGCAGGACACTCTGCCCACTTGAGATGACATGAGGGGATAGTCTGCTGGCTCTGCTACATGTCCCTTCAACTCCTGTAACTCTTGGGCCTGGGAGTGGCTCTGCAGGCAACCTGGGCTAGAGCAGAAATAACCAGGACCTACCAGGCCCCCCACTCACTGACTCACTGTGTGCCCAGCCCTAGGCAGGGGGCCTGGGCAGAAGAGAAGCCAGGACCTGCCCGGGTCATCAGTGGCTTCAGGGAGGGCCCAGGCTTGGATGCATGAAGCTATCCGAACATGATTTGGTTACAAGGCTTCACATCCCAGGTTGGGTGGACCTCGGTGGGCCTGAGGAGCTAAGGAGCTAGGAAATCCAGGTGCCCTGCCAAGTTCTCACTCTGCCTGGCTAGAATGCCCCTGGGGACAGGAAGCTTATCACCTTGCAAAAAGACTATTAGCCTCTATCTCTGAATCAGGATAGCTCTCCTCAGAGATAGGCATGGTGCCACATGCCTGTAATTCCAGCATTCAGGAGAATCATGAGGCCGGCCTGGGCTACACAGTGAGACTTCTGTCTCAAAACAACAAC